TTTAAATCTTAAAATCTGGAAGTAATAGAATCTTTATTTAAATCTGAAAACCCACCTTCACAAAAACATGGCAGCCAGTGGAGTTTTTAGTAGAGCATCCCATTTGCTTGCTGTCTCCGGCTGCCAATTGTTTGGTAAGGTTTTTTTGCAGGGCCTGTCACTGGCCTGCTTGGTCGGCCTGCTGCTTTTCGTGAAGTGGGATTTCCTTTAGTATGGCTTCCCGTTTGCTTGTTGTCTCTGGCTGCCATTTTTGTTGCGCAGGTGGATTTTTGTTCAGGGCCTGTCACTGGCCTGCTTGGTTGGGCTACTGCTTTTCGTGAAGTTGGATTTTTTAGTAGAGCTTCCCATTTGCTTGCTGTCTCTGGCTGCCATGTATTTTTGCGCAGGTGGAGTTTTTCAGGGCCTGTCACTGGCCTGCTTGGTCGGCCTGCTGCTTTTCGTGAAGTGGGATGTCTTTAGTAGAGCTTCCCATTTGCAGGTTGTCTCTGGCTGCCATTTTTTGTGCAGGTGGATTTTTTCAGGGCCTGTCACTGGCCTGCTTGGTCGGCCTGCTGCTTTTCGTGAAGTGGGATTTCTTTTAGTCTGGCTTCCCGTTTGCTTGTCGTCTCTGGCTGCCAATTTTGTTGCGCAGGTGGATTTTTGTTCAGGGCCTGTCACTGGCCTGCTTGGTCGGGCTACTGCTTTTCGTGAAGTGGGATTTTTTATTAGAGCTTCCCGTTGGGCAGGTTGTCTCTGGCTGCCATTTTTTGGCGCAGGTGGATTTTGTTTCAGGCCTGTCATTGCCCTGCTTGGTCGGCCTGCTGTTTTTTGTGAAGTGGGATTTCTTTAGTAGAGCTTCCCAATTGCAGGTTGTGTCTGGCTGCCATTTTTTGGCGCAGGTGGATTTTTTCAGGGCCTGTCACTGGCCTGCTGGGTCGGGCTACTGCTTTTCGTGAAGTGGGATTTTTTCGTAGAGCTTCCCATTTGCAGGTTGTCTCTGGCTGCCATTTTTTGGCGCAGGTGGATTTTTTCAAGGCCTGTCATTGCCTTGCTTGGTCGGCCTGCTGCTTTTTGTGAAGTGGGATTTCTTTAGTCGAGTTTCCCAGTTGTTTGTTGTCCCTGGCTGCCATTTTTTTGCGCAGGTGGATTTTTCAAGGCCTGTCAGTGGCCTGCTTGTCTATCATCGAGTGCAAGAAAAATATAAAGAACAATAATTCAATCAAATGTATTTGGGTTTTAAAAAACTGTGCATACAATCCAACTAATAGTTCAAGTTCAAATCAACTTTCAACATATTTCCTACCAATGCCTCAGTTCAAATTAATCCAAGTTTTAAACCATACTGGTAAAACTTAAAGAAATCAATATATATATATATATAGTTGAGTCAATCAAGTCCAACTATAATCTCTGAATGATAACTGGGATCCACTGGGAAACTTTGGGTTGCCTAGTACAATGGTAACTGGGATCCCCTGGGTTTGAGTCGGGAAAAACTATCAAAACTCATCTCAGAGGTGTAACGAAAATCAGGAAGACTTCGGACATTCACTGCTAGTAACCTGATGCTGCGATGATGCCTGCAGATGCTAGCGATGCTTACTGGAAGTGCTAGCGATGCTGGCTCGGCGTTACTTCGCAAGCCTACTCGGCTTCGAACATCTTAAGGAGTGGGAGCTAGCGGAAATAAAGTTCAGCGTCGCAATGCTGCCGCGGCCGGTTGTGCCGTAAATCCGGCTACGCCTCCTAGGGTAGCATGTCGCCGCTAGGCAATTAGCCTGCTACCTTTACCTATAGGGGCTGCACCCTGGTGCCGCCGACCCTTGTCACTTGGTCGTGATGCGTGGCCTAAACATCGCGTATATGCAGGGTTTAGGCCATGTGGCTGACATCATCAGCGTCTGGGGTTGGGCCTGGGTGATGCTTCAGCGGGGCTTGGTCTCCATCATCAAGACTTCCTTCCAAAAAGCCTCTCTACCCAAAAAGCACTGTTTTTTAGAAGGTGTCGGAGGGATATAAGGGAGGCTCATTTCGCGCATTTTGGCGCCAAGCGCTGCCGAGCATGCTGGCAATGCTGGGTCCTCGCTCCACAAAACGCTCTAAATACCGTCAAAAACTGCTGTGCTGAGCGGTGGGCTGTTGTTCTGTCCGTTTTGCTGTGGCTGCGCTGCGCGGTCCTTGCTTTTTCCCCGTTCCTTTTCGGGCCTTCTGGCGCGCGCGCGCGCGACCCCAGCCACAAAACGCTGCTACTTACGGTGTTTTGTTGCATTTGCGTTTCCGGGCTGGCTTGCGGGGTGCTCTTTTTGGGCTGCTCTTTCTGCACCCTCTGGCGCGCGCGCGCGACCCCTGTCAGCCTTCTGGGTTGGGGCCCGGCTGGGGCCAAGAAAGCTGGCTCTGGTTGGGGCGGGCAACATGCATAACCTAACCAGCCATATCATAGCACAGGGTACGTTTCGTGGCCGGCTAGAGGCCGCAGGCCCAGACATTTTGAAAACCGGAACGAAACAGGGGACCAAATCACCAATTTGTTATCACATTCATATCGTTATTTCATGGCCCCAGAATCAGCATTTTAAAAGCGAATAAGATAGAACACGTGTTGCAAAGCGAAATGTATTTAAAAAACAGAACAGGCAACCATCAACCCCCAGCCCCCTAGAATCAGCTTTTTCTACGTTTCACTCCCTGTTGCACATTTTCCGCTTCGAAAATTGGCGTGGGCACGTGGAACAATAGGCCTGTAGATTTCGGAATGGGGGTCGCCGCCTTCTGCGCTTTTTGTTCTGAGTTGGATCTCGTTCGTCCACATTTCGTATTTTGAAAAAGCTACATTGCAACACATGCGAACTAGCCCGCGTGACGAACCCACAGATTTGGGAAGACTATGCTGCGGGCCCCCCCCCCTGTGCTTCAACAAACACAATGATTTTGCACCAAGCACACATCCACGTTGTCTCCTTCTACCCGTGAACTGCACGCCCGCTATGGGTGCTGGAAAGCAAGCAGCCGGCCTGCGCGCGCGCGCGTCGCTGGTTAGCCCTGCCGTGCCAGGAAACCGGAAAGCTGCGTGTGCCCCAATAACAGGGGAACTGATTGAATGGTTTTTCAATCGCTACCCCGAAACTGGGAGAAAACATTGCAGAGCAGCAGGGCATGCGCAGTCACTTCCATGTCGGAGCGCGTTGTGTCTCATCAACTTCTTCGCACATATTGTGAACACAGAGCTCCTCGCATGACATCTCATACGTCATCATCTTTCCGAAAGGCCACTCCTTCAATCGTCGCGCGCGAGGTAACGCACGCATTGCGGCGCACGACCGCGCGAAAGGTATCGACCTGCGACTCTTGGACGTGTGCGTTTGCAGGGACACGCGCTTTTCCCTTCGCAAGAGCAAGCAAATGTAAGTGCTTCAAACAGAACAGTCCTGGCAATTATAAGGACATCAAGCTACCAGTCGTAGCTGTTGGCTGCCCCGTTCAGCTGCTTGCGGCTAGCCTCTCTCAGATTACTGAGATCGGCTTGATTGATGGCCACTCTTCAACAAGTGCCACCAGCAACGCTGAGCTTACTTGCAATATACCAATAGCGTGACGCCGAACTCCTGCCATGGCTACTGGCCTCTACGATCCGACGCCACGTCACAACACAAGAACGAAGAAGGGCGATTGTGGCCGGGCCAAGGTGTGGGAGATGTGTTCAGCCAAGCAAGGAGCCACTGGCCAAGCTGGAGGTGAGGAGGCGAGGAGCATGGGCGGGCCTACGACTCTGCATGCAGGCGGGTCTTCTTGCAGTGGACACAACGATATATCCAGCTGGTTGAAGGCTTTCAGCAAGCTCGTTCAGTTGTTCAAAGTGCCTTTCATGTCAATTAAGCAACGGCCAGCCTGCTCTTCAGGACAAGCATCCGTATACTACTGCAAGGGTGCACAGATACGTGAATAATCTGGGAAGGCTGCAAAAATACTCTGCGGCAATACACTGGCAAGAGTCCTGTGAGACAGGGGAAAAGTTGCTGGACATTGGGAAGGCTTGTTGGGAATTGTGGGAACTGCGGCAAGGAATTGCCGGCCGGGAACTGCCGGGAACTGCGGCAAGACTAATTGTACAAGGAATTGTCGGGGAATTGCCGGGGCCCGGCAATTGTCGGGGACTTGCCGGGGCCCGGCAACTGCCGGAGAATTGCCGGGCAATTGCTGGGAAGTTGCCGGGAACTGCGGCAAGACTACAGCAAGGAGCCTGGAGCAACAAAAGGGAATGCCGAGGCTTTGCCGGGAGATGAGAGGGAACTGCAAGCAAAAGCGGAGCTGCGGAGCGGCAACGGTTGTTTTCACGCTCTTCAAACACCAAACAGGGGCGGGGCCAACATCCTCAGCATCCCCTGCCGCATCCTCAGCGCGCGGGCCAGCAGCCTGCCAGGAGTGTTTCCTCATCATCTCCTCAGCATCCCCAGCACGCGTCACAGATCTTTCAATGAAGGAGGAGCCAGGCCAACATGTTTTCAGGCCCTGGCAAGTCTGCAGAATTGCGGGGAGATGCGGCAAGGCTCGTAAGAATTGCCGCTACGGGCAGACTCACCAACCAAGGGGATTGCCAGGTCTTTGCCAGGCAACGCAAAGCGCGGCAAGACTGCTTACAGAAGATTGCCGGATTTGTCGGGAACCGTGCGGAGACTATGCGGCAAGTGTGCGAAAAGAACTGCGGGAGCTGCGGCAAGGCAATGGCGCCAGGTACAGAATTGCCGGGATCGGGGCTAAGCCTACGTGCAGACAAACTACAAAACCAAAACGGATTGCGGAGAAGTCGCACATTTGTCGGACATGACAGGAGCTGCAGCAAAAGCGTGACCAGTTTAGCTGCAGACGGGATTGGCGGGAAACGCTGGGAACTGCACGTGCGGCAAGAACTTCTGGCCAGATCCGCAAACGTCAGAAACGCCCCCAAAATGTACAAAGCAAGCTCTCGTGATTAGGGCGCCCCCCCCCCACTCGTACAGTGGTCAAAGGGGTGGTCGGAGTCGTGCCTGGCTCCAGCCGAAAGTGCCGCAGAAGTGCAGAGGGCCATTCTGGCCTGGCGGCCGACCTGGTGGACCCTGCAGCCGCATCATGTGCTGAACCGTGCTGAGCAAGGCAGGCTCATATGCCGCGATGAGCTCCTTGGCAGCAACAGTGTCTCGCCCAAAGAGGTTGCGAAGACGCTGAAGCGAGCGTGGATTCTCCTGAAAGCCCAAGGCCCACAACTCCGAAACTCACCCTGGAAATGTCGGGCAAAACTCGCATGGCTCACCTGGAGAACGTCCCGTGCAAAGAAGGTACTCCAATCCACAGCCAGGAGGTTCTGCAATACGTCACCCTCAGACACGGAGCGGAGAGCTTGGAATGCTGACCATCCATAACGGCTCATTACAGAAAGCGAAGCAGGTGGGTTTACGACAGATCTTAGCCAAGCAACGTGCATCTTAATCAGGGCACAGGCCAGCTAGAATCTAACCGCAACAAACAAGCATTCATGCTTCCTGAAGTTCATCTGACACGCGCACTGTGTTTGAAGAAAGCGGGGACAAATGATCTGTGTGACCATCACAGGCCTGGGGCTAGCCCCATCATATCACAGGCCTGGGGCTAGGCCCTAGAGCAACCGAAGCAAGAGTCAGCCGCAACAAAGGGGTGCAGGGCAAAAAATCTTGGCTGTGCAAAAAAAAAGGAGAAAAAGGAGAAAAACAACTCTACCCTCCCAGCCAGACAAAGGACGTAAAGGCAGAATGGACTTGGCCGAACTTTCGATAGCGAGAGTTCAAAACACCAACAAAATTACACGCTATCAGTTGCACTGACCGCAGCATGAGGTCGATTCAATCGATGGACTGTGCAACAAGTTGAAGCCAGAAAAGAAAGTGCCAAGATGTGCCAAGTTGTTCGTTCCTGATGTTTCCTGATCCATGAATTCAAACGGGAAGGTAAGTCAGGCATGAAAGACGCGGGACATCCAGCTCACCAAACTGGCAGCTCAGAGGCGGTTTGGACTGTTGTGTTGACCCAAGGTGCCTCCGCAGCAGCCCTGCCGAGGGGGTCAAAGCTCCGCAAGGCTGCGCGGAGGCGCAGCCGCTGCGCTCGCATGAAGCAAAGAGGCGCATTCCAGGCTCGAACATCCGATGCGCGTGCAAATGTGCATGTGTACTCATACATTCACCTTGAGCACACGGCAATAAGAGAGACCCGACTGGTAGGAGCTCTGATTTCTTGCTTGGAAAGTCGCTCCAACTTGCTGCAGGAATTGCTTGACCAAAGTGTTCGCTCATAGCCCAAGCGGATCGTCTTCGGGGAGCCGGCGTCGCGAAACAGGGGGTCCCAGGCTCGATTCCCCCTGCCGGCTCTTTTGCCTTTGCCGAAAATCTGGAAAAACTCTGTGTTTTTGGACGTCCTCTTTGCGAAAACGCTGGAAAACCGTGTTTTTGTGCAAGAAATACTGGGAGCAAGGGGGAAAAATGAAAGGGAAACACAGGGGAACTGAAAGGGACATGAAAGGGACAGAAATGAAAACAAGGGGAGTGCAGGGGGGATGAAAGGGAAACAAATCACAAGGAAACCAATCGGCACGGGAAATGTAGGGAAATGACTCGCAACGCAAGAAGACTGCAGAGTGCCGGTATGGCACGTAGGAGAAGGAGAAGAACTACATCCAATAGAACAAGAACAAGCAGATCAGGACAACAATGAAGAACTACCTCAGGATGTGAATGACACCTGACACTGGTACTACCAAGGAGAAGAAGGACAACACGAGGTAAACTACATGGAGGAGAACTGGAACGACTACGACTATGACAACAGCTGGGATTGGAATGACAGCAGCTACGAAGACACAGCAAACTACATTGGAGGCATCAACAAGTCACACCTCACCATTGGACACATCAGACAAGCAAAGTCACTACTACACAAAGCACAAATCCAAATCGCTACTTGGCAAGAAAACAACACACACAACATCATGGAACGACCACAGCAAGAGCTTTCAACAATTCCTCAAAGAAGACACCACACAGCTACACTTCGACATAGCAGCAGCAACACCACAACAAAGGAACAAGAAGATTGCGGACACCATCACACACTACATCATGTACTCCAACTTCAAGTCATACCATCACCTGCTGATCGACTCAGGAGCATCTACACATGTTTGCCCGAAGGACTACGCGCCAGATCTACCACTGCGACCTTGTGGAGAATCAGTTCCACAACTCTACACGGTTACCGACAAGAAGATTCCTGTCTACGGCATCAAGTATGTTCCCTACAAGCAGGACAACTTCAGGATCATGATACCCTACTACGTTTGTGATGTGAAGTATCCAATCCTCAGTGCATCAAGACTACTTGACAGAGGATATGGACTCGACTTCAATCCACGACACTGCACCATCACACATGGACAACAACAAGCACGCCTCATAAGACACTCAGGAACTTTTCAACCTACAAGCAGAGAAGACCGACATATACAACAGTGGTTGCCCAATACCAGAAGAAGAACTAGATGATTGGCGACTAACCATCATCAACAGACAAGGGCAAGAACAAGAACAACTACAAGAGAACCCAACACAACTTTCCAAGCAAGAGCTACAACGAAGATTAGAAGGTGACAACTGGACTGGAGAAACCAGGTCCAGAAGAAAGATAACACCTACACGCAGAGCAATATCAAAGACCACACCAACAAGGCAGAGCTCACAACCACAACGGCTAATGGACACACCACCAACCAGATCAAAGATTCAACTACGAGCACCACAAAAATATGGAGACCTAAAGCAGCACCTTCTACAGATCTCGACACCACACAACCAAAGGAGACAATACACAGACCACTCACAGCACAGGAGGACAACCAAGACTACTGGGAAAGACAAGGTGAACACTGGATAAGACAACACGCAACACTGTAACACTTAGAACTACACTGCTCACTCCAACAGATGGACCAGGACATCCACCAATCAGCACACTTGAGCCTCACAGAACTACAGTCACTCACAACAACTTTGCAACGCAAAGATGACTGGACAGTCATGGGCAACGCAGCGCTACCGTTCAATGGAAAGGGACAACAAGGTTCACCGTGAAGAAAGACTACGAGTACATCCCGGAGAACCACGATGAGGAACAACAACACGAGCATCATGAAGCACACAGAGCAAGAGGACTACGACAACCACACCAGCCAACTCCACAACAAATAGCAGAACACAATCTGACACACCTACCATACAGAAACTGGTGTCCAATTTGCGTTCAAGGCAAAGGACGCCAAGACATCTACAAGAAACAACAATCACGACAACCCGTCATTCAAGTAGACTTCGCCTACATCAAATCACAACAAGACCCAAAGACCATACCAGTACTGACCACAGTTGATGCTACTACACAACTGTGTATGGCAGTAATGGTCCCGGACAAACCATCAATGATGGACTACATGATCAACAACCTACAAGCATTCATCTTTGAGTGCGGAAGAACACAAGGCGTACTACAAAGCGACAACGAAGACACACTCAACGCAAAAGTCGGCTCAATGACTGTTAGGCACGCACCCTCCTACAGCAGCAGCAGTCAAGAAAGTGTTGAACGACTACACCAAACACTCCTCGGACAGGTACGCGGCATGACAATGTCCACGAAGCATTGTCTACTACCTTGGATAGTACGACATGCAGCATGGACTGAACGCCGCTGGGGAAGAAACTACGAGCGAGCCATCTGCGAATTTGGCGAGACACTACTTTATCTTCCACCACAACACAAGAAGCTTCCAAAAGCAGATCTACGGATTTTTCGAAATGCATCTGGCTCGGAAAAGTTTCCGAAACCGGAGAAAACTACGTCGCAACGGAATCAGACGTACAAAAGGTACGAACAGTTCGGAGACTACAACCGGACTTCAACTACGACCTCGCGCTGTTGAACAAAGTTTCCGGCACACCATGGGCACCACGACGGAACACCTACAACCCGTCGTTCGCAACACTGTTGGACACGCAACTACAACCCTCGGAGAAGAGAAGGTCCACGCAAGATTTCGGACAACAGACGAACGTGACGGACGACATCATCGTGGAACCCGCAACAAAACAACAACGCACTACACCACCTCCACGACTTCCGTCTACATCGACGTCAAGTTCACGACCACTACCGGATAGTCCTATGGCTACTTCACCAACCGGACGACAACATCCACCACTACCAGCACCACCTCAACAAACACTACGACGTTTAACTCCGGAAGAAGTACTGCAACCAACCAAAGCACAGAAGACCTCAAAGTACACTACAATCAGATCAACGGAACAAGCAACCAACGAGCCACAACCACTACGACAGAAAATCAACGCAGTGACACTTCCCAACGGAACATCCATCACTCCCTACACCGACGATGACACCTCCGAAGACCAACCCATAAGACGAAACACAACTACTGGAAGGAAGGAAACACGAGTCAAATCAAATGAAACTACATGACGTCTACGAGGAACGAAGTAGATGCGTCTACCGTCGACGACAACGTTATCAGAGAAGCAATATACCTACAAGATGGGTCCACAGAAAGAAAGGACCAGGAGTGCGAAGCCGAATCGTCGCAAAAGGCTACACGGAGAAGATCGAGGACGAAGACTCCGTCTACGCCTCTACACCAAGTTCACGACACTCCGGACACTTCTCGCACTACAAATGTCACGACCAAACTGGATCACGCGACTAGGTAACGTCTCTACAGCATTTCTACACGCACCCATCGCAAAAGACCACGATGGTAAACAACGTGACGTCTCCCTTTGGCCACCCTAAAGGACTTTGTCCACAGGAAAAAATACGGCGGCTAAAGAAAGCCATGTGTGGACTACGCAGTTCACCAAAAGCATGGCAGGACTACCTGGCTGAAGTGTTACAAAAGCTCAGCTTTGTAAGACTAAAGTCAGAACCTAACGTCTACACCAATGCGACTCGTGACTGCTACATCATGGTCTACGTGGACGATCTACTGGTACTTGGAGAGAAGACTACGGTCGACTCCATCTTCAAGGCCATCCAGAAGCAGGTTCTACTCAAGCACATCGGCTACCTCGAACCTGGCCAACCACAACAATTTCTTGGAAGAAACATCGACCACTTCGGCAACTACTGCAACCTTCTCCTACATCGACAACATGACCGAGGAGTCTGGAATGACCAACTGCAACACAGTGACCACTCCAAGAATCGCCCACTACAAACCAACAATAGAAGATGAAGCACTTCTTGACCACCACCAACACAAAGGATTGTTGGCAAACTTCAACGGTTAGCATACACACGACCAGACATCGCGTATGCTACAAAAGAACTAGCACGAGACCTCACAGCACCTACAGAACTTTCACAAAAGAGAGTCAAACATTTACTACGCTACTTGCGAAGCACCAAACACTACAAATTCACCATAGAACCAACAACAACACTCAGAGCAAACACCAACAACATCCTGGATCTCGACGTTCATGTACTGGGCAGGATGCCCTACTACCAGGAAACCAACTTATGGTGTCAACATCATCTTCTAGGAACAACAGTTGCATTTGGCAGCAGAACACAAGCTACCATAGCACTCAGCTCAGCAGAGTCTGAACTCTACGCCATTTGCGCGGGAGTTAATGAGGGACTACACCTCAGAAACTTCGT